GTCCCCGGCGGTGGCGGCGCTGCTGATGGCCTGCTCACGTTTTGGTGGTCGGCCAGGTCCCAGGAGTAGTTCCCGTACTGGTGGACCATGCACTCCGACTGCTCCTGGAAGTGCTGTGCTGAGAAGTTGGTCCACCAATCGAGCATGTTGCCGTTCTTGTCGAAGTTCCGGCCTGGCGGGCAGAGGGGGCTGCCTTCGTGGCCCTGCCTGCCCAGTGCCAGCCTCACCGGCACGTCCTCCCAGAAGCCCCAGTGTCTAGAGCTCATGGGGGCAGGGGACGGGCCCCTGAAGGGTTGGCACAAGGTCATCGGGCTGCTGAGGCCCGGGAGGGGGCTCTGGTGGCCTACCATCCCACCCCCGAGGTCAGAGCCTGGAGTTTTGGGGCCCCGGGGGCACCGTGGCTTAATGCCCCTCGCCGTGATGTCCAAACTCTGTGAGCCCCAGGTAAGGGGAGCACGTGGTCCTGGGGGCCACGAGGCTGCCCTCAGAAGGTCCCGATGGTCAAGCCCTGTGGGAAAGCCAGCTGGGGCCCCCGTGCATGGTCACAGGCCACTAGAGCAGGCAGGGGCCGCACCCTGGGATGGGAGGTGGGGACATCGGGTCAGCACATCTCTGGGCCAGAGGAGGCTGGCTGCCCTGGGGTGATGCCAGGCCAGGACCTGGAGCTTCAGAAATGCCCGGGGTAGTGTCACTATCGCCGGTTCACGGGCCCAGGGAAGAGCGGCCCGTTAGGTGGAGTCAGGATCTGGCCCGCGAGCCCTCACACCCTCTTCTCCATGTCTCTGCCCAGAGCAAGGGTGCCGGACGGGGGCCGAGCCTGCCATTCAAGACCTCTCTGCCACCATAGCTCCCCTGGGAACCCAGCAAGTCCTCTCTGCCTGGGTGTCAGTGTCCCCACCTAAATCGTGAAGGGGTTGGATGGACAGCTCCAAGGCCCCCTGTCCCCTGGTCCCCTCCCGGGACTGCTGCTCAGTGGAGAGGGGAGGAGGCCGTGTAGCTCTGACCACCCCCCACGCAGCTTCCCTACCGTTGTCGTCAAAGCCGTGAGTGATCTCGTGCCCGATCACCATCCCAATGCCCCCGAAGTTCAAGGCCTGTGGCTGCTCCTTGCTGAAGAAGGGGGGCTGCAGGATCCCAGCGGGGAATACTGCCCGGAGACAGGGGTGGAGACGTGTCCGTGAACAACCCTCCCACGGGCCAGGCCCTGGGCAGGCACCCCTGGGGCTCCTGCATCAAACCACACGGCCCGGGGGGGCAGGGCTGTGACCCCCCTCCGCCCCTCACGTTACAGACCAGAGAATACAGGGCCCGGAGGTGAGAGGCCGGGGCCAGCATGCGGCAGACCCAAGCTCTCCCGCCCCCCCTCATTCTCTGCTGCCCTCGGGACTGGGGTCTGCTCCCCAGTCTCTAAACCCGGCCCTACCACTCAGACAAAGGTGAGGAACTTCCCAGCAGGTGGGGAGAGGGGTGAAGTCCCTACAGGTGGGGAGAGGTTCTCTCCTCCCGAGAAGAGGCTGGAGGTGCCCCCCAGGAGGGAGGGGAGGGCTCTTCTCTGGCACCGGAGGGCTGGGCTCAGTCATGGAGGGGTCACACGTACCTATCTGGTTTCGGTTTGGGGAGTAGAATGCATTAACCACGGCCGCCCCGATGATCCAGCTGTGATAGACAGGCCGGTCACTTGGAGCCCGTCTCCTGGACCCTTTCCTCCAGGTCCCCTCCCGGCTGACCAGAGCCCCTACCCTTAGGGCCCCCATCACAGTGGCTGTGCCACGAGACCAGCATTGCCCGCAGCCAGGGCCGGGTCTGGGCAATCCACAGATCTGAATCCTCCCTGAACCCGGGGCTCCGGGTCAGACCCCGGCCGCCCTTCCCGGCCCGCTGGTTCCCGCGTGCCGCCACTCACAGGTTCTGGTCCACTTTCTCCCGAAGCTTCTTGAGGCTCCGCTGGGCACCAGCCTTGAGGTTCTGAAGACCGTTTTCAAAGTACTGGTCCTCCGAGAAGTTCAGCTACGGGACAGGGGTGGTCACTGCCGGGTGTGCAGGCAGGGGGGTCGGCAGTGGCTGGGGACCGGCCTTGGGACTGGC